GTAATGATTTTAATGCACAAAGAGTGCAAAAGGTTACTTTGTTTTATATTAGTGCATTAAACCACTAATGAACTCATTTTTTTAACCACCTGCTTCAGTCTGAAGTTGAAAGATTTAAGAGATACTCCCAATATTTCCAAATAAAGATCAGGGAAAAATCACACTAAGGGAAAATTTTCAATGTTGTCTTTCATCATTAGGGTAATAAAAGATCTTTGTAATAACTCTCACCTTCAGAAATGTCCTGTGAGTATAAAATTATAACTCAGCTTATGTCATTCACTCATGCAACAGTAAGCTAACCCTTTGCTAACCAGAGGTATCAAAATGGGTGCACTGGACTTAGTTCTGGTTCTTGAGGAGTTCTCTGGTAGGAGACAGAAACAAATTACTACAAGGAAAGATTAGCACTATTTCTGTGGCAAATAGACAATTTTTTAAGAAAACTTTTTAAAAAGAAGTATTTATTTCATTTCATCTTATTTATTTTAATTTGACCAGAGAGAGAAAGGGAAAGTGAGAAAGCAAACCACCAGGTCCAGGGCTAGAACTGCAGTTGGCCATGTGGGAGTTCAGTCCTTTAACTACCATGTCACTTGCTGGTCCCAAACAGACAACATTTTAAAAGTGAAGGTATCTGAACAGGTAGGTTTTGAAGGATGAAGAAGAATTTGCCAAACAGATGAGGGATTGTAAGAGAGACTGGTAGGAGTGGGGAAAGAGAACAGTGCAAGATGACCTAGTTCAGAACAGGAAGTGTCAGCTAATGTGCTGACTGTATTAATCACCTGGAAACTCGGCTCTTCGCTACCAAATGAAACTCTTCTGCTCGCATTACACACAGGACTTTACGAAACCAATTCTAGTCTCCCTTTAATACTACCCCACTGAAATTGGTTTTGCTAGTGGTCACCAGTGACTTCCATGTTGACAAATTTAATTGAGCAGGTACTTTCAGACATCAGCCTCAGAAGACAGGTCGCATGACACAGTTGATCGCGCTCACTCTTTGGCTATCCTCTCAGCATTTCCCCTCTTCCTCCTCTACCTGACCTCTAAAAAGTTGAAGTCCCTCAAGGTGTACCCTAATCCTCCTTTCCCCCACCATGGGTAATATCACTCATCCCTGTAGCTTTAAATACAACCCATATGTTCACGACCTCCAAACGTGTGTCTGTGGGTTGACTTGCCTGGGGGCTTATCTCTTATTTATATTTTTAGAGGTTTTACCTTAGGGCATGAGCACTCGCTGGAGAAAGAGAGATGGAGACAGTGAGAGGGAACGTGAGAAATCACCCCCCCTGGGGGGATAGCCACGCCTCAATCCCTCTCCTCCATTCTTCTAAAACCTGGAGCACACACATGCACCCAGTGTGATTTTCAAGCCACCAGGTCTGGGACTTAAGCCACAGTTGGCCATGTGGGAGTCCAGAGACATAACTGCTACATCGTCTGCTGGCCCCTGAGGGTCATCTTGTAAATCCATCTGTCTCTTGAGTATCTCCGCTTGGCAATCTCTTGGACATTCCTAATAAGCTAACGAATTCAAAAGTGGAGCTTATCTCCAACTACTCTGCCTGAAACCTGCTTGTCCCGTCCTCATTCCAGTCATGACCACCATTCATCTGGCCAGTCACTGGAAGTCATTCTTGTCCCACCTCCAGTGACCAAGTTGTCAGTTCTACCTCTGCTGCTTTCCCACGTCTGTCTCCATGACCTACACCTAGTCAGGCCACAACCTTCTTGGAGCTGGACATCCACTGCCCAGGCCTCTTCCCCAGTACGTACTCCACAGGGCAGCTACTGCGATGGGTTCAATCATTTTATTCCCCGCTTAGAGCCCTTCTGTGGGGATGGATCATCGGTTTTGTTTACAAATATTCCAATGCTACTCTCTCCTGGCACATGGCAGGGTTTTTATTTATTTATTTATTTATTTGAGAAGTTTTTGCTATAGGACGCGTGCGCTCGCCAGACAGAGAGAGACATAGAGACAGAAAGCGAGAAATCACCCCCCAGTCACGCCGCAATCCCTTCTCCTCCATTCTCCTCTCAGGATCTTGGGCATGCACGCACACGTGTCAGGCGTGAGTTTTAAGCCACTGGGTCCGGGACGCAAACCGCGGTTGACTATGTGGGAGTCCAGTGACATAGCCATTATGCTAACTGCTGGTTCCTGCACATGGCAGGTTTTTGAAGTTAGGTGAAATGGGAGTAAGAATAAGATGCCCGTTTTCTGTGTGGTAGCTTCAGGACCAATGTGCATCTCTCTTTTTTCTCTTTCTTTGCTAAGATGGTTATGATGTTCCAGACAGCAGCTACTCCATCACCTTGGCTCCACACTGAGGATATGAGCACAAGGTGACGGGCAGCATACACCTGAAATAAACCATTGTAAAGTGCTATCTTCA